GGTATAGCTCAATATGGTTATTTTACGCCTCTAACGTTGCCCTAATAATGCTTTTGAGTATCTACTGTCATTTCTGCTATATTTTTAGCACAATCTTGATATTAGTAATGGAACATACTTTATTTCTCGCACATTTCAGAAGTCAAAAAGATTTCCACAGCAGCAGCAGCAGCAGTCAAAGATAGTGCCGGCCCCAGGAAAGACAAGTTGTGGCATGAAGTTGAACTGAACCTGTTTTCCTCACCCTGAGCCAAAACTTTCTGAAAGTCTTGCAGCGCCTTTTAGGGACCCCTACCTGCCCTTATGTGGGACGCGGGTGGCGCTGTGGGTAAAAGCCTCAGCGCCTAGGGCTTGCTGATCGAAAGGTCGGCGGTTCGAATCCCCGCGGCGGGGTGCGCTCCCGCTGCTCGGTCCCAGCGCCTGCCAACCTAGCAGTTCGAAAGCACTCCCGGGTGCAAGTAGATAAATAGGGACCGCTTACTAGCGGGAAGGTAAACGGCGTTTCCGTGTGCTGCGCTGGCTCGCCAGATGCAGCTTTGTCACGCTGGCCACGTGACCCGGAAGTGTCTTCGGACAGCGCTGGCCCCCGGCCTCTTGAGTGAGATGGGCGCACAACCCCAGAGTCTGTCAAGACTGGCCCGTACGGGCAGGGGTACCTTTACCTTTACCTGCCCTTATGGGGCGCGGGTGGAGCTGTGGGTTAAACCACAGAGCCTAGGACTTGCCGATCAGATGGTCAGGCGTTCGAATCCCTGTGACGGGGTGAGCTCCCGTTGCTCCCTGCTCCTGCCCACCTAGCAGTTCAAAAGCACATCAACGTGCAAGCAGATAAATAGCAACCGCAACGGCGGGAAGGTAAACGGCGTTTCCGTGCACTGCTCTGGTTCACCAGAAGTGGCTTAGTCATGCTGGCCACATGACCCGAAAGCTGTACGCCGGCTCCCTCGGTCAATAAAGAGAGATGAGCGCCGCAACCCCCGAGTCGGTCACAACTGGACCTAATGGTCAGGGGTCCCTTTACCTTTACCTGCCTTTAACCACAAAAGGATTCCCTCCCCCATCCGATTTCTGCCCTCTGCATCAGGTCGCTTCACCCTGTTGCATAGCAGGATCCACTCTGGACAAGAGGAGCCACAAATGGAGCTGAGTTATGAATACGGCTGAGCGATATCTGTCTTTTAAATAACTGTGTATCACTATATCACCAGCTAAACATCATGCTATAGTGATACATCACTATGTTGAAAAGGAAGGAGCATTGGCCCTGCGAGGCTCTGGGGTGAAACTGCCACAGCTCCCCCCACCTCCAGTGCCTGGGGCAGGGAGGAAGCAGGCAAGCCCCACCGGCTGAAGGCTTCATCCTGCTCTGGGCCTCAGACCGGTCCTGGTCATTGATGCATCGCCCAGGCCTAGTTACAAGGTACATGACACCAGTCAAGCTTGCAAAAATATACCACTTGCCCGACAACAAATGTTGGAAATGTAATGAGACTGAAGGTACATTTTTCCACCTTTGGTGGACATGCCCAAGGATTAAGACATTCTGGGAGATGATTTATAATGAAATGAAAAAGATATTTAAATATACTTTTTTGAAGAAACCAGAGGCCTTTCTCCTGGGCATGGTCGGCCAATTGGTGTTAAAGAAAGATAGAACTTTTTTTATGTATGCAACAACAGCAGCAAGAATACTTATCGCGAAGTATTGGAAGACACAAGATTTACCCACACAGGAAGAATGGCAGATGAAGTTGATGGACTTCGTGGAAATGACTGGCAGAATCCGAGACCAGGGAGAAGAATCGGTGGAAGAAGATTGGAAAAAGTTTAAAGACTACTTACAGAAATACTGTAAAATTAATGAATGTTAGAAAAATGTTGGAATGAAGTTATATGGCTTTAGTAGAAATGTTATAAGGAAATAGGTATAGATAGATTAATAGGGTATTAAAGGGAAAAATAAGGTTAGAATGTGTTAAGATAATTATAGGATAGAAAACAGAGGAAGATGGAGAGGAATTGCTGAAACAATTAATAGAAGTGGAAGACAAAAAGGGAGGTGTGAGGAGGTCGTGGAAACAAGTGAATGAAAGATAAGATATTGAAATTGGATTGTGTTTTGAATGGTTTTTGTTTTGTTTTGTTAATTGTTGTGTTAGTGTTGTGTAGTGTTTTTTGTATGGTATTGTATTGTTGTATTGTTTTTTTTTCTTGGTTTTTTGTAGTGTTGTGTTTAAATTGTTGAAAATTAATAAATATTATTTAAAAAAAAAAAGGAAGCAGGCAAGCCCCACCGGCTGAAGGCATCATCCTGCTCTGGGCCTCAAACCGGTCCTGGACATCGATGCATCGCCCAGGCCTAGTTACAAGCAGGCCGTAAGGGATGTACCCAGTTTGCAAAGCTCACCAGGCTATCAGCCACTTACGACCAAGCGAAGAAGCCAAGGCGCCAGGACATGCCTGATGTCTCCCCCGTCTGGAGGTGCCTGCCTACGGATCCATGGATCTGGACTGTTTTCACACCCCAGCAACACATCCTGTAGAATTCCAACGCTCATATTTTATCTGCACAATCAGGAACCAAAAAGTCGCATTGAAAAATACGACTTTTGAGCCGTCTGCCCCCCAAACGGCAACCAGGCATTCCGTTTTGGCGACTGTAACCTTGATTTAAGGAGCCACTTGGCGCCTAGGTTATAAATCAGAGTTTCTCCCACTGCCTGTGTGCCTCTTGAGGGTCCCCCCCCCCTTTGCCAGGGGTCCAATCCATTTCCAGCCTCTGCACGTGGCTCCTTGGCTCTGATGCTCAAGCACCACTTGGGATACGATGAACAGAAGATCCACAAAATATCTCTAACCCACTATAGTAAGGTAAAGCCACTATAGTAAGGTAAAGGTAAAGGGACCCCTGACCATTAGGTCCAGTCATGGCCGACTCTGGGGTTGCGACGCTCATCTCGCTTTATTGGCCGAGGGAGCCGGCGTACAGCTTCTGGGTCATGTGGCCAGCATGACTAAGCCGTTTCTGGCTAACCAGAGCAGCGCACGGAAACACCATTTACCTTCCTGCCGGAGCGGTACCTATTGATCTACTTGCACTTCATGCTTTCAAACTGCTAGGTTGGCAGGAGCAGGGACCGAGCAATGGGAGCTCACCCCGTTGCAGGGATTCGAACTGCCGACCTTCTGATCGGCAAGTCCTAGGCTCTGTGGTTTAACCCACAGCGCCACCCGCATCCCTCTAACCCACTATGGTACCTTAATGCAAAAGCCCTGTGCTCTAGACAACGGAGAAAGCCCTGCTTCCCCATGTGCCAGAATGTTCTCAGGCCCGTAACTGCCAGACAGCTGAAGTCCAGAGCAAAGGAAACACACTAAGAAAAATGCACAGTAGCTTGTTGCTTTTGTTCACTCTTGAAATATACTCATAAGCCACGTTTTGGCCCTAGCAGCCAAAAATAAAAAATAAAACACTAATACGAAAATTAAGCAACAAACCAAACATGAACCATACACACACACACACACACACACGTTTATATTAAGACCAAGAGGAATAGAATCAAATCTTCACCTATTAAAAACAAGTCAAAGCTGCCTGGAAGAGTAGGGGGGAGTCTAGGACAGGCATCCCTAACCTGCAGCCCTCCAGATGTTTTAGCCTACAACTCCCATGATCCCTAGCTAGCAGGACCAGTGGTCAGGGATGATGGGAACTGTAGTCCAAAACATCTGGAGGGCCGAAGGTTGGGGATGCCTGGTCTAGGAAATGCCTTGGTAGGCCATTCACAGCTGGGGTGCTGCCACAAAAAAGGCCCTGCTCTGTGTTTCCACCAACCTCAGCTCTCTAGAGGACAGAAGAAACTAAGAAGTTGACTAGAACACAGCACTTTCCCCCCTGCTCCCCCCCCAGGGGTCCTTCCACAGCCCACCCACCACCAAGGCCTACACACCTGAGCTCAAAGCTTGCTTATGGGCTTCCCAGGAGTAACTGGCTGGCCAGTGTGAGACCAGAATGCAGAACTAGGTGGACCTTTGGCCTCACCCAGCTGCTCTCTTCTGTTCCTGGCTAGCCAAGAAGGCAGGGCATCCTTAGCAAGCCATGGTGGCCAGGAAAAAGCCCCCAGCGGAGTCTCCTTGGGCTGGGCTGCCTGCCCTTTCCCCTGCCCTTCTCTCCCGCTTTGCAGCAGGCAAAAGAAGGTGCTCCTCTTGTTCGAAGCTGCTGCGATTGCTCTATTTGTTCACTTTTTTAAATGCAGTTAAGATAGGTGCCTCCTTAATGCAGGAGCAATCAAGTGCAAGTCCTCCATCTCCGACAGAAGCTCTCTGGTCAATGTCAGAACTCAAGCAGGACGGTTTAAGCCAAGTGAGGACTCGCTAAGCTTTGAACCCAGAACATTCTGCACGACGGAGCTCCACAAACAGACTCCTTTAACCCTGCACATTTGTGCCATGCCATTCAGTCAGATGATGATGATGATGATAATAATATTTTATTTATATGCTGCCCATCTGACTCAGGGTGGCTTCCAACACATTAAACCATTGGCCAGAACTGCAAAGAGATCACAGGAGATCACCTAGCTCTCTCTGAGCATGGGCAGACTGCCCTTCAGTCCCCGGGAGTTACAAAACGCAGAGGGACCCTCAGGATGTCAGAGCAGGGCTTCCGGGGAGACTCTGCCTCTCTTTCGCTCTCCCCTTCCTCCTCCTGCCTCCCAGCTTCCCGGAGTGAAGACGCAACTCCTCGGGTGCGAGCTCAGCTCATCCTCCTCTCGCCAACTGCCCATTCCACGGGAAAAGCGTAACGTGTGAATGGCTCTCCCCTCCCTCCCCAGACACGCGTTTGATTTCTCCGAGAGCCTTTCGGACGTGCCCCGCGAGGCAGCCCTTGCCGGTGCCTTGGGGGGACCAGGGAGCCGCGCGGCTGGCCCTGCTGCAGCCCTTCTCTCCCTCCCTCCCCGCGCGCCCTTCCGCGCCCCTCCGCGCTGCTACTTCACCGTCGGTCACGGCCAGCTCGGCTTCTCCGTCTCGGGGCTGCAGCTGCAGGCGGAGCGCCTTGGCCCCGGCGCGGAGCAGGAGCGGCCCCTGCGCCAGCTGCTCCTCGCTCACCAGCCGCAGCTGCACCGCGAAGCGCGGCGCCGTCGGACAGGCCGACCCCGCCGGGGCAGCCATGCCGCCTCCTGCCCCGCGCACAGCCGAGGCGGCCGTGGCTCCTCCTCGCGCCAGACCCGCGGCAGCAGCGGGCGGACGCGAGCCTGGCGGGCACGAGCCTGGCGGGCACGCGCCGGCCGGGCTCCCCGTCGGAGGCGCCTCGCGCGGCCACGGAAAGCAAAGCAGCCTGCTTCGCTCCCGCTCCGCTTCCCCCAGCTAAGAAGCCGCGCGCGCGCACGAGCGCGCCCTACCCGTCCAGCGCAGCCCAAGTTGCGCTCCGTCGAGCTCCGCGTTGGCAGCAGCGACGCCCGGCGGCAGCTCCGGGAAGCGCGCTCTCGCTCTCGTGCGCCCCGCGGGACTGCAGCAGCCGCGCAGGAGATGCGCCTTCTTGGCGGGGGTCGCGGCAGCCCTGGCCGCTCTCCGCGCAGCGCCCTCGGGGGACGGACGTGGCGCAGCAGCGCCGGTGAGGGCGCAGCTGACCTTTGGCTTTCCTTGGCTTCTGAGCTTTGAGAAATGAGGCATGAGAAATGAGAACATAATATAATGTTTGAGGATTGGGAAAGATTGTGGAAGAAAGGGGTCAAGTTCACCGCATGTACTGTGTTAAAGGAAAACATAATGAAAATGATGTACAGATGGTATCTGACTCCTGTAAAATTAGCAAAGGTATATCATAACTGTGACAGTCTATGTTGGAAATGTAAAGAAAAGGAAGGAACCTTTTATTATATGTGGTGGACCTGTCCCAAGGTGAAAGACTTCTGGGAAAATATTTATAACGAATTGAAAAAAAATGTTGAAATATACATTTATAAAGAAACCAGAGGCCTTTCTTCTTGGAATAACAGGTTTGGAATTGCCCAAGAAAGATGTTAAATTATTTCTGTATGCCACAACTGCTGTGCGTATTCTGTTAGCTAAAAAGTGGAAAAGCCAAGAATTACCAAAGATACAAGAATGGCAGATGAAGATGATGGATTTTTCGGAGCTAGCCGACCTAACCAGAAGAGTCTGCGATCAGAAGGAGGAGGAGTACCAGGAAGAGTGGATTAAATATAATGATTCCTCAGTTAAATATGTCAAGTTAAATTACCTAAAAGTAGCTTGCAGACACTTAATTGGCTTAGGATTTTATTTATGTTAAGTGTTGAATTGATATGTTTGATTTCATAATGTGAAGATCTAAGGCTGTTAATGTTTAAGTTAAATTTTATAAGATTTGGAAAACCGTTATAAGGATATGCAATGAAATTCAACCAAGGGGAAGCGAGGAAGTCACTTAACAATGTTAACAAGTGTAATTTTCAATAAGGCTATGATTTATGTTTGTTTGTCTTATGTGTTTGTTTATAATGTTGTGAAAACCAATAAAAAAAATTGGGGGGGGGAGAAAATGAGGCTGGGGGCCAAGAAGGGTTTGCCCCTGGCTGGGGGCCCTTGGGACCAGGAGGGCTCATCCTTCCCCCCCCCCATTGGACGCACCTGCTCTTCCACCCCTGAGGCAGCTCAGGTGCAAAAGACACCTTTGATTTGTTGGCGTGTCGCTGTGGGTTAAAGCCTCAGCGCCTAGGACTTGCCGATCGAAAGGTTGGCGGTTCGAATCCCCGCGGCGGGGTGTGCTCCCGTTGCTCGGTCCCTGCGCCTGCCAACCTAGCAGTTTGAAAGCACCCCTGGGTGCAAGTAGATAAATAGGGACCGCTTACTAGCGGGAAGGTAAACGGCGTTCTGTGTGCTGCGCTGGCTCGCCAGATGCAGCTTGTCACGCTGGCCACGTGACCAGGAAGTGTCTGCGGACAGCGCTGGCCCCCGGCCTATAGAGTGAGATGGGCGCACAACCTTAGAGTCTGTCAAGACTGGCCCGTATGGGCAGGGGTACCTTTACCTTACCTCCTACCTTGTTGGGAAGGCCCAGTGCAGGCTGCAATGCAGAAGAAAGCAGGAGAGGAGCAACAGAAACAAGAATTAAAATAAATACATGAAGCATTCCATAAATTCTGCAAAGCAAACAGAGTCAATGTTCCAGGTCTGCCTCAGGGTTCATTTTCCCTCCGTTAGACTTAAAGGTAAAGGGACCCCTGACCATTAGGTCCAGTTGTGGCCGACTCTGGGGTTGCGGCTCTCATCTCGCTTTATTGGCCAAGGGAGCCAGCGTACAGCTTCCGGGTCCTGTGGCCAGCATGACTAAGCCGCTTCTGGCGAACCAGAGCAGCGCACGGAAACGCCGTTTACCTTCTCGCTGGAGCGGTACCTATTCATCTACTTGCACTGGCCTGCTTTCGAACTGCTAGGTTGGCAGGAGCAGGGACTGAGCAACAGGAGCTCATCCCGTCGCTGGGATTTGAACCGCCGACCTTCTGATCGGCAAGCCCTAGGCTCTGTGGTTTAACCCACAGCGCCACCCGCGTCCCCCGGTAAACTTAGTTGGGGTCTATAGAATCCTCTTTAGTTTTTCCCCTTCTGGTATCCTCCAAACCTGCTGTACCTGGAGGAGGAAACATCTTGAATGACCCTGCAGAAGAACAACTGATACACTCATAGGAGGCAGCTCCCAGGGGCCAATGGACCCCCAATAAAATGTCTGAGGGGGCTCTCTGCCCCCAAGTTGATGGGTATCATCATTCAGATGGTAGACATGTGCTGCATCTATAGATTATGCAGAGTGGGACTCCCCCCCCCCCATTTTTTTTATTCAAGTTGGTACCCCTGATTGCACTTCAGAATGTGTGTGTGTGTGTGTTGCTACATTTCGGTCTGGGGATGGGGAAAATAAATAAGAGAATGTGAATTTACATGCTTCTTATAAAATCATCTACACTGGTATTTTTCTTAGGACACTATTTTTAAAAGTGCTAGATTATAAATGCACCTTGGCATTCCTTCTGGGGTGCTTTTGAGCATAAAAGGGTCCCAGTTTCATACAGATTTACCAAGGAATGCCCTAAATTCCTTAAACTTATTTTAATGCCCCCCTAATATTCAATACAGTTTTATTGAGAGTGGACCCTTTGAAATGAATGGGCCCAAAGTAGTCGTGTCCATCAACATCGTTGGGTCCACACTGCATAAAACTTAGCTGAATACCACCCTGGGTTCCAAAAAATGGAGAAGGAATTATTTCAGTTATCACCCTGGAAAATGCTTCCATGCAGATTAAAAACAAATAGCACCTAAAACCAATAGCAAATGGAACAGAGAGTCACAAAGAACCTATGTGTGTGTTTTGGAAGCCTCCCAAATCCAGACCCAATTTTTTTAGACTTCAAATGAAACAAATAAATTCTTGGTTTAAATTGGTGAATTTTATTTTCTAGTGCTTGGGTGCTTGGCAATCTCTGTTAGACCATTTGCCTTAAACAGTCTGTATGAAAATAATTGCCCAGGAGATGTCACTGTTAAGGTGTTTTCATCTAGTAGTTTTTTAAAAAAAAGAACTAACAACAAAATCTGTTAAGTGAAGCGTTCTAGAAGTGGTTAGTTATCTTTCAGGCCAGAAGGGGCACTGACATTATTAAAACCCACACTGGAAAAACCTACGGTGCAAAACAGCCCTAATTAGTGACTATCTAGGGAGCATCTTGCTATTAAAGTATTATGAAGGTAATTTTGGGTCCTAGTCTTCTTGAAAGCAAGGGTATACCCTCATAAAAATGCTCAGGGTATTCTTTCCATGCATAATATGAAATGCTGTAAGAAAAACATACAAAAATCTGCATTTGTAAATTAACATGGAAGCATCAGCCGGCTATGCTGTATTAAATAGCAAGTAAAAAACATATATTCATGTGTTATGCAGCTAATAGGAATTGGAAATAGTGAAATGAAAAATGAACAAGTACTTGTGCTTGACTAACTGCTGTTAGTCAAGCAGTTTTCTACTGAGAAACTGCCTAGGCAAGGGCAATGCCTCTCAATGCGGTTTGGAGAAGTTTTTTGCTTCTGCTGACTGGTGCAGTGTGATTCCTGCATTTTAGGCAATGAACATCTCCCCTGAAAGGCCTTGCAGGCACACCAGAATGAGAAGGGAAGAAAGCCGCCCTAGCATGGAGGGACTGTATAATCAGTTTGCCTTTTTCACACCATGCACTGATAAAGAAGAAGAAGAAGAGTTTGGATTTGATATCCCGCTTTATCACTACCTGAAGGAGTCTCAAAGCGGCTAACATTCTCCTTTCTCTTCCTCCCCCACAAGAAACACTCTGTGAGGTGAGTGAGGCTGAGAGACTTCAAAGAAGTGTGACTGGCCCAAGGTCACCCAGCAGCTGCATGTGGAGGAGCAGAGACGCGAACCCGGTTCACCAGATTACGAGTCTACTGCTCTTAACCACTACACCACACTAAAGCAGATCATTGTGCTCAAGTCCTTGTCTCACCAGCCTCCTGGGCTCTCCCGAAATGGAGGAGCTGCAGTTCTGTGCGGTGGAATTTTTCATAGGGAAAGTTAGGGCCAGAGGTGGCAGCTTGTGAGAGCAATGGGGGGTGTGCACGTGATGTCTCATGTGCCTTTTAAATATGAATTTGACTTAACCACCATGAGATTTTTATTTATTCATTTATTTCCATACCTCCCTTCAGATGTCAGGGAGATAAAGAATTACACAACTTTTAGAAGACATCTGAAGGCAGCCCTGTATTTGGAAGTTTTTACCACTCAGTGTTTTTATTATGTTTTTAGATACGCTGTAAGCCACCCAGAGTGGCTGGGGAAACCCAGCCAGATGGGCGGGGTATAATAATAATAATAATAATAATAATAATAATAATAATAATAATACTGCTGGGTTAAAAAAGCACACCTCCAAGCAGTTTACAAAAAGAATCTGGGAAAATCCAGAACACTTTAAAGCATACAAAAAGTTAAAATACCAAAACAGATTAAAATTCACAGCAGCATTTCTAAGCATCTCAGCCATGAGCCAAGTTCCAGGCTTGAAAATGCTCAATAGTTTATTCTCACTTGTCCATGAGAACAAAGAACTGAATGGTGATAAGTACACAACTGTAATTTTCTTCAAGGACATCATCGTGTCACGATGACATGAATGAGGACGGCCGTTTTTCCCCAGCAGC